AGGATGGCAAAACATTTGAGTAGAGAAGTCCTGGAAACATAAGATCAGGGATTTATGAATCATAGCTCTATGTGTTATATTTGAAGGTCTTCACCATAGGATTAGTAATAGCATTAAAAACTTGTATTTGTAAACGACATTATCTTTTTCAAAAACTTTGCTACCTGTGGAGACCAAAAGATAGAGACAAAGGAAAATTAGAACAGTGGTAATGGTAAATATAGGGGAAGTGAACTGAAGTGTTGGAATACCCTATAAACATTTGGCACAAAGATTAACACTTTAAAGGCTATTTAATTGATCTGAGGAAACACAGAAGCCATTATATAAGTTATGATAATTAGCCTGTCTATGGTCTTAATTTCTTTACAATTCTGAATCCAATACAGAATTTGTCTGTACCAGCAACAATAAATAAAGTACTACTTTTTTTAACCACAAAGTAGTGCAGTGGATGGAGCTCTAGGCCTGGAGTCAAGAAGACTCATCTTCCTGAGTCCATATCCGGCCTCAGATACTTCTAGCTGTGTGACCATGGGCAAGTCACTTAACCTTAATTTGCCTCAGTTTCCTCATCTGTAAAATGATCTGGAGAAGGAATCTTTGCCAAGAAAACTTCAAATGGGGTCATGAAGAGTCAGATCAGATTGAAATGACTGAACAAGGACTACTTGGGGGTAGCTAAGTGGTACAGTGAATAGAGTTCCAGGCCTGGAGTCAAGAAAACTCATCTTCTGAGTTCAAATCTGGCCTTAGACACCAGCTCTGTGACCCTGGGCAAGTCACTTAACTCTGTTTACCTCAGTTTCCAAATCTTAAAATGAACTGGAGAAGGAAGCATCAAACCACTCCAGTTTCCTTGCCATGAAAACCCCAAATGGGGTCAGGGAGAGTTGGACATGAGTGAACAGCAATAATTAGTATTTGTGTCTAGCTAGATAAATTGATTCAAGATTCCTCTGAAGCCTTTGACACTATTAATCATCTCTTTAGGTTTTCAGGACACTACTCTCTCCTCCGTTCTCCTACTTGTCTGATCACTCCCTTTTTAGTTTCCTTTGCTGGATCTTTAAACATCACATCCAATAACTGTGGGTGTCCCACAAGACTGTCCTGGGCTGTCTTCTCTTCTCTCTTTATACTATTTCACTCAGTGATCTCATCAACTCATCTGGATTAGATTTTCATCTCTATGTTGGTGATTTCCAAACCTACTTAAACAACCCTACTCTCTCTGCTAACCTCTAGTCTCACATCTCTTCCTGCCTGTTAGACATCTCAGACTGGATGTTCCATATGCATCTTAAACTCATCATGTCAAAACTTGAACCCCTTTCTCCCTAAGCACTCTGTACTTCCTCATGTTTCTGTTATTGCCAAGGGAACCACAGTCCTTATAGTCACACAGGCTGGTAAACCAGGTACCATCCTTGACGCTTCCCTTTTTCACTAAACATATCTAGTCTGTCACCAAGACCTGTCAATTCTACCTTTGTGACATCTGTATGACATAACCAACAAGATGGAGGAATGGACATTTTTTCTGGTCCTCGGGACCTCTCAGACCTCTCCAGAACAGAAATTATCCAACAAAGATAATGCAACTTCAACTTCCTCTGTGGTTTAGGGCATCAGCAGCCCTTTTTTAAGATTAGAAATTCTATGCTACTTCCCCCTTATTCAGAACCTTCTTCCTCTGCCAATCATGCTGCAGGCAGCAAAGCTGCACTCGATGTCCTGACACATGGGCTTGTGACATTGATAAAAGTTTGAGAGACACAGTTTCTGGGTAATTTAATCATTTTATTAATAAGGCCAGCAGGTTATTAATAAAAGAGTGGTCATTTGGCCATTTTTTTACACCAAAAACAGTCATGGCAGTGGGCTCACAGTTTATAGACCAGTAGGGGGTGATGTCACCCCTGGACAGAGAAAATATCTCTATACCAGACCACCCCCAACTATACCAGATCACTCCCAGCCTTGGACTATCTAGACAAAAGGATCTGTCTCCATCCAAGTACGTACACCATGGACTTCCCCGCCTTAGATTAAATTCCTTGAAAGGTTGTGTGGGGTCTGATCAAGATAGAGGAGAGTCAGTGCAAAGTCATTATCAGTAATGTCCTTCTGAAGAAAAACTGAACTCTTAAAGTGAAGAATTTAGAAGGGGAGAGCCTCTGAATCTTCGTGTGTGTGTGTGTGTGTGTGTGTGTGTGTGTGTGTGTGTGTGTTTTAAAGAACCCAACATCCATCTGGTGCCTTTTCTATCCACCCAAAAGTCACTTGGGGCAGAAAGCTAAGCTAGTGAACTATGAATTGCATAGTGTGGGAGGAGGCTTAGATGCTTGAGATCCAACCCCCAGGGAAATCAGTGTAGGAGGAAAGGGAGTCAAAAAGTGAACAACAGAGGAAAATAAAGGGGAAAAGACTGAAATTTTCATACCCAAAATCTCAGGAGGAAGAATTTTAAAAGACATTGAGCATAAGCAAATAAATAACAGGAAAAACACATTAATAACTGAAGGAAATATGATCCCCAGATCTCACAAATGAGTTCAGTCACCTATGGATAAATACTGTAAAACGAAGGAAAATGATTTAACCTTAGATGAAGCAGAGAGCTCTCTGGAATTTGAAGAGAACGTAGAACCACAGCATGCTTTTCTGAGTGGCTGAAATGAGAATTGTGAGAGCAGAATTTATGGTCTGCAATGAAGAAATAATTGGCAGAGTAGAAAAACTGGAATCTGTGATGGAAAGTCTCACCAAGGAAACAAGAGAGGACAACTGATTAGGCATTCAGATGCCCAGAAGTGAAGGGCAGTCTAGAAGAGAAGTTTAAAAAAAAAAGTTCTCCATTCAAGTAAAACTTAGGATGTTAGAAATAACCCTAAGATTCATAGGTCTCCCAGAAGAGCATGTCAGTTCAAAAAACCTGGACACCAAAATGCAATAAATAATTCAAGAAAACTTCCCAGAACTTCTGAACATAGAAGATGAAATACCAATTGAAATAATGCACAGATTGCCTCCAGGAAAACAAAGAAACCCAAAACTGCAAACTCCTAGATACAAAGTGGTTAATTTTAACAATTCAATAAAGAAACAACAAATCCTTTAAGTGACTAGAAGATCCTTCAAATATTAAAGAAAAGAAATTTGAATAACACAAGACTATTCTGTACCCACTAGAAAACACAGAAGGGTTTAAATAATGAGTTCTGAAGAGAAATAGAGCTCAGGATACAGCCCAGGTTTACCTACCCTGTGAATCTAAGCCTAAGCAAAAATGAAAAAATATGGATGTTCAATAATAAAAAAGCATTCAAAACATTCTTGGAAGAATTCTACCTAGGGTCATCTAGGTGGTACAGTGAAAAGAGCTCTGGCCTTGGCATCAGGAGGACCTGAGTTCAAATCCGGCCTCAGACACTTGACACTTACTATCTGTGTGACCCTGGAAAAGTCACCGATTGCCTCACCAAAAAAAAAAAATTCTACCTAACATCCCTTGTATTTGCCCCCTTCTCTCCTCTGGCAGTGCCATCACCCTAGTCCAGGCTCTCTTCACTTCACACCTAGACTGTGGCAGTAGCTTTCTGTTGTTCTTTCTGCCTCAAATCTCTCCCCACTCCAATCCATTTTCTGTTTAGCTGCCAGATCAACCCAAAAAGCAGGTGTGACCGTGTCACCTCCCTACTCAATAAATGCCAGTGGCTCCCTATTACCTTCAGGATCAGGTACAAAAGTCTCTGACATTAACCTGGCCATTTCCTGCCTTTGCACTCTCTTTATACTTACTGCCCACGAGTTCTTCTCTTCAGGGACCCTGGCTTCATTGCTGTTCCTCACACAGAACACGACAATTTTCAACTGCCCTTGGAAATCATATCCCTCTCTCTTTTATGTCTCATTTTATATTGTAGCGAATCATTATTTTTGTGCTTCTATTTATTAGGAAACCTTGTATAAACCAAGCATACCCAAGAGATAACTCCTTTTTTGAGAAGAATCTTTGTAACTAAACATTGCTCTACTGATTACTTCATTTTGTCAAATAATATTGATAATATTTATTAATATTAATATTTAATAAAATGTGTTAACATTACTAAGCTAACATTTATATATCACTTTAACATTTACAAATTATTTTACCTATATTATCTCACTTGATACAACAACCCTGTGAAGAAAGTGTGTGGGGTGTTTGTGACCCCCAAAATAATCAAACCAGAGACTTTTTCTTAAGAAAGGCAAAAAGGAGTTTTATTGCTTTCTCATAAGAAAGGACGCACCCAGCATGCTCTCAAGATGGCTCCAGCCGGGGTGTGCCAGGGAGCGTAGATCAAAGCCAGTTTATGTAGACCCTAGGGCGGAATCCCCACCCTCCCACTAGCTCCTCTTCCCATTGGCTGGGCTTTAGAGCTCACAGTCTAAGCGCGGAACCTTATCCCCAGCAACAAGGTTTGCAAAAAGGTGGGAAGCAAGGAACTGTTGGTTCAGCAGGAAAGTAAGAAAAAAAGGAGGGGAGAGCTGGAAAGCCTGGAATCAATAACCTAATCTCCCCCTGTCCTGTTTTCTTATCAATTCTGTGGGAACCAAACTGTTAGCATTCCTCACAAAAGTATGATTGTTATCTCCATTATATAAATGAGGAAACTGAGCCTCAGCAGAGTAAAGTAGTTTGCCTAGGATTATGGAGCTAGTAGATATCTGAGGCAAGATCTGAACCAGTTCTTCCTGGCTCTGTGACCTGCACTCTGTTTAGGCCAAATGACAAATGTAGCAGTTTCTTGTACTTTTTACACATTGTTCAGTTAATGTTAACATATGATTTGCTACAGATAATGATTTATGAAATCTAGCCTGTGCTTTTCTTATTTCTATTAAGGACAACACTTAGGACAGGTACATACAATGCTCCATATTTGTTATCTAAAATTATGTTTATATGAATACTAAAATGTGATATTTTTTCTTGCTTTTGGTCTTAGGGGAAAGATACAGTGATCACAACCATCCCATTTGCCAGACCACAGGATTTAGGCCCGTCTATTGCTATTGTTACAAAAGTAAACCAGATTCAAGACCATCTGCTGAAGAAACAAGATATAGAACTCTACATGCATCTGAACAGACTAGAAATCGCTCCACAAATATATGGATTGTAAGTGTGTGACTTTTAAAAGTAATCATTTTATTTTGGATTGATAGTAAAATCCTGTGGTGGACAAATTTTTCAAAAAGAAGAGAAGGCAATTTTAAATGTTTGCTTTAGTCCTTTCATAACCTTTGTTTTGTTTGAAAGAACAGTGTGCTCAGGCAAAAGAACAGGTTGGTGGAGTCCTCCACACCCAGGAGTTTATTTACAGATCTAAGAGAAGTTCCCCTGTGATAAGCATACGTACAGTGCTACTTTTTGGTCAGCTGGCCTCATCATCTAGGAATACAAATTGTGTTTTTGCCCAAAAATCTAATTTTTAAAGCCATAGAATAAACGTACATACAACTTGCATTAGACAAAAAAAATCAATAAAACTTTTTTTTAACATGCCTGGAGAGATTTAAGAAAAATGTTTCCATGTATTAGATAGGTGAGGACATGGTAATTATATGCAAAGACTTTTTTTAGTGACTTGCCCAGGGTCATACAGGTAGCGAGTAAGTGTCTGAGGTTGGATTTGAACTCAGGTCCTCCTGACTGCAGGGCCAGTGCTATATCCACTGTGCCACCTAGCAGCCCACATGCAAAGATTTTTAATCCATTCTTTTGTCTCTACCTCTGATGGCTCTAAAAAGGGGCCAAAACAAAAAAGGCCAGAGGATGGTTGAAAAAAGGGGGTCATAATTAAAAGAATTTGCTTTGTATGTTCCTGTTTGGTTTTGTTGAAACTAATAACTCAAGTCCTTTATAACTATAAGACCATGAGCTACAAATCTGTAAGGTTCCATTAACTGGGAACCACTGAAATAGAATTCCTTACTGACTGAGAAGGAGGCCTATGACCTTACTAGCATATGGCAGGACAAATAGGAAGAGAAATGATAAAAAGGGGTATTTGTCCTCTTTCCTCTAATAATGCCTCTGTCCACAGTCTCTGCTCCTAACCTTGATTCCTATATGTATGCACATGTAATGTAACAAGAACACCTCTGTTTTGTAAAGTGCATGAGGCTTTCAAGAATACCTTTCCCACAACGGCCCCATAAGGTTGTCATTGCAGATATGAATGTATCTTTAGATGAGGAAATGGAAACTTAAAGAGGGCAGGTGACTAGCCCAGGGTCACACAGTTCATTAGGGTTAGGGTTGGGGCTTGAAACAGAGGCCATCCTTCTGGTCAGAAGGTCAAAATAAAAGGTTTTTGTTTTTTAAGTCCAAGCCTTAATGCCCCGTTGGAGATGTTCTGAGAATAAGTCTCATAAGCGTCCTTAGTGTTTCCATCAACACTTGTGTGCCTGGTGAAGCCTTGAATTAAGAGGTGAAAGGTCCTGGAGATCCCTGGGCATGGCATGGCATGGCATGGCATGCCCAGGTCCTTCTGCAGGCGGCCAGTTCTGCCACATCCCCTCATCTCTGAGTCTCAGATTCCTCACCCAAGAATTGGAGATGCTATTACCTACACTCAAGATGCTAATACTACCTATACTATTATCAATAAAGTGTTTTGCAAAATAAAAATTAACATAAAAATGTGAGCTATTTGCCTATCAGAGACAATGTGCAGAGTAGATAGAGGGCAGTGCTCAACAGGAAGAAGTCCTTTCTCTAAGTGCTGCGTTGAACACAAACTGGCAAAGTCAATCAGCCTCTAAGTGCCCCAGCAACTCGATTCCACTATTAATTAATTGCACAATAGTTGCTGCTGTGGTTGGGATAGGTTCCCCATCTGGAGATGCCTATCCTGATGGAAGCACTGATATCGATTCCCCACTACCCCTGATGAACAATATGTCTTGTCATTCTGATTCTAAATTTTTCCCATCTGTGCATCTTGGCTCAATCTCCTAATCTTGATAGCGACTCCATTTTCTTCAGTGGAAATGGGTATGATATAGCCAGTAATAAAGAACAGGACCCCACAAGCCATATGAATGTAATGAGTGTGGAAAAGCCTTCAGTTGGAGCTCTAGGCTCCTCCGACACCAGAAAATTCATACTTCAGAGAAGCTTACTGCATTATAAATTCCATGATGTCAGGGACTTTTAAGATATCTCTCAGTTTTGAGAGGTACAGAATATAATAGTATCCTGCACAGAGCAGTGGCTTGGTTAATTTTAACTGATTGTTTTCAATGTGGAAAATTCTTCAATCAGCTCCAACCTCTTTAGCGAGAGGATCTTTGGAGACGGATAGAACATTTTGTTTTTACATTCCATATATTTACAGATTATATCCACTTTGTGAGAAGTTTCTTGTAACGAAGTAAAATAGTTCAGTAAAATTAATGATAGTGACCTCAACTGAAAATTTATGCAACTTTTCATATCTGTAACATTCTTCCACCTCTTTATTTAAAAAAAAAATGAACAGAAATAGGTTTTCACTCCCTCCTATCCCCAACCCCACTGAAAAATTAAAAAAAGGAAAAAAAATTAAATTTTTTGTGACAGTCATGCATAGTTCAAGAAAACATATCACCCCAATGTCTATAAAAAAAAGGACCCCAAAGCTAGTTTTTGTATAACCCACGAGCCTACACTTTAAAATAAAGTTTTATTGTATTTAAAAAATGTAAAAACTATTCTTAGCTCAAACTGGATGGTGCCCCACAGGTAGCTTATCAAACCCTGATATACAATATTATTCATTAATGTAGTACACAGGTTATTTTTAGCATATCTGTTTAAACCTATGCCTAAGTTATATACTTTTGTGTAAGTAAAAAATCAGCACTTAAGATGTTAAGTCTAGTTCTTTTTGTTGGTAGTTAAATTATTATTAAATGATTATACTATTTGATAATGGACTCAAATTCTGCATTGATTTTCATTATTTGCTTAGAGAATAGATGTTCACTTTATAAAAGATAAAAATGCAAATTCATTTGATTGTCATACAAACTGACTTAATGAGGAAAGGACTAGAGCACTCTGAATCTGTCAATTGATAACCCTTTGATCTTATCCTCAAATATTCAAATGGTTCTGCCGTTTATTTGACATGGGGATTGTCTCGACAGCATAGATCATGATCCATCCATGCCTGCCTTTGCTGTGTGATTCTTGTTCATGTGCTCCCATAAGCTAACCTAAGAAAATTCATCCAGTGTGCTGGAAGCCTTCCTCACTTTCTTTTGATTAGGAAAATACCAATGAATCACACAGGCTGTCTAGTGATTATTCTTTTTTTCACCTAGAGAGAATACATCTTTTTTGCTCAAGCATTTCTTTGGTGACATGATTTATTCTACTTTTCCCTCTTAGCTCCTTATTTGCAATGTCTTTTCTCCCTGTCCTGCCCACCATGCCTTTTGGGAGATTTTTAATTTCAATACTTTAGAGACTAAGAATATTGACATTTTAAGTCTCTGTTTTAAAGAGGCACTTGGAATCATTCAAAGAAATTTGCCGTTTCCCTAATATAGCTAGTCCTCTTTCCCTTTCCTTCCCTTTAATAGTAGATAGATAGATCTTGAACAGATTAATGAATGAGCTTTATAGTTTGTACCTCCAGATGTATATCATAATCTTCAAAATAAACATTCTTGTTCCCTTATTTTTTTTCCTGTATGGGTAGTTAGGGAAGAGTACTTATGTATGTCATTTAGAAAGGGCTACAGTGTTGTTGGAATTAATATAATTAACACAATGTCATGCAAAAACAGTAGCACCAGGAGCTGTGTGGTATAGTGGAAAAGACACTGTGTTCAAACTACCTCTGATATTTACTCCTTGTGTGACCTTGGGTAAATCATTTTATTTCCTTGGCCCTCAAATTCCTTGTTGATAAAATGAAGCTGGTCAGACTAAGTCTCCTCTAAGGTCTCTTTCAGCTCTAGTTCTATGATCCTGTGATGGATGGGAAATCACTCTTTGTCTTGGACTCTGCTAGATTTCCGCCATGTCACCAATCTTGCCAAGCACGTCCCCTTTTTACATCTTGCTTCATATTGATAATCACAGCCATCAATAATGATTGTATCTGTTATTATATGTGTGTACGTATGTATGTACACATGGTTCTGTCTTAATAAATTCAAGAAGAATTTGAAATACATATGAGACACACCTTTAGTAGAGGAGAGCTTTTAAAGTGGCCTATTGTGTTACCAAATCAAGTGATTTTCTTACAGCCTAAAAACATTTAAGCACAGTAAGATCTTGTATGCTTTACATCTTTCAGTCAATTGTGTGGTAAATTGTCCACTGTGGAATTTTGCTAAGAAAAACCTGCTTGTTCCTTTGTGATTCAGCATACCCTCAATGTGTGTATAGATTATTCTCACAAAGATTTTCTTAAGTTGGAGAGATAGACGCGTAGATAAGTAGTTTTTGATCTTCTTTTGGTTGCTTTTCTTATATTTCCACCTCTTTAGTTTTTTCCCCTCCTTCAGATAGCCTAAGGATTTCTCAACTCCCTCAAAATTTTATCAACAGCGTAAGAGGTTAGCTGCTTTGCCCGTTTTTATTCTTTTATTGCCATTTCCTCTGCCTTTATGATAGGATCCACCATCCAGGACTGATGTTAGGGACCACATATGATAATGGTTCCCTTGTCCTTGATGCTGAAAAGACCATTATAAAATATCTGCAGATATTTTCCATATTTCATTTGTTTATTGTAATCTCAGTTTTGTCCTTAAATACCCCTGGGATAATTTTGCTTAGTTGGTTCTCTCACCATGCTTTCTTTAAATTATTTTTCCCAACACCACTTCTTGCTGTCTTATGAGGCAAATACTGCTCATAATATTCCACCATTCTTTTCTATGAGTTTTTGCAAATGAGTTTGCAGTCTAAATCTCTATTAACCTTGGCTGCCATAACTTTCTGCTTGGCAAGTAAGTTAAATATTTTCTAACTGAAGAAGTTTTTAGGCAATTTTTGTTCTCTTCATTTTGATAAATTAATTTATATCAGTTTAATTTCTATGTGGCATTGTCATAAACAGTGTGAGTAGACTTTCCCCTTTCTATGTCTTATTTTTCAGTATCGAACCTGGT